TATCTATCTATCTATCTATCTATCTATCTATCTATCTATCTATCTATCTATCGACAGAACAGATAATGAATGAATTATGAATAAAGAATTAATCATCTTTTTTCCCTGGTTCACCACAAAAATATTGCTTTGTATTGTTTTCATTTCTTTGGATCTAAAACATCCAGAATCAAGTTTTTTTCACAGATAGTCGGGATGACACCTCAAGTGTGTACAATTAAAAAAAAAGATTCATCTCTAAAGATCCAATCTCTCATTTAGGCATCTCATACCTAAACTTAATTTTAGAGCTAATTTATGCGAGTGCACTTCCTCTCGTTTATCCTCAGACAGAGAAGAATATCAGGGATAAATGTTCCCTCTCAAATGGTTGAGCAGGATAATAAAAGATTGATATTTTATTGACGTTAATTCAAACTATACAAAAAAAGGTGTTGATTAAAGGTTTTTAGAGCCTCATTGCTTTATCTTTGCAGAATTACTCCCCCCTCCCCAAATGTGGCTGTCGTACATATTTCACCAGACAGACATGGGCCTGTTTTTTACATCCTTTTAGGCCCTCTGTTGTTTTTCATGTCTTTCAAAGCACTTTAAGAACCCAGTTCCTAGAGGTGCTTTATAAATAAAGTTATCACCATTAAAACAGCATCAGGGTGTTTTTCACAGCAAAGCCAGGTTCTCTTATCTGTTTGTTTGTTTACCTGTAAGGTTTCCCAGCTCTTATAAAGCTTGATGCTTTATCTTTTTGTCATTGTTTTGTAGGAAGATGGGTCAGTTAAAATGACAGTTTCCACACAGAGGCTCAGTTCAGCTGTGAATAAAAAGCAGACTTTATCAGATTTTTAACGGCTAAGATCATTAACTTCAATAAAGTATTTCAATGCGTATATTTACCTATTTATATGGGTAACAAACAGCAAGTAATGGTCAGGTTTTTCTTAACTTTGTGATAGAATAAAACCCCTCTGTGACTGAAAACTTCACAGAGAAGACACAGAATCTCATCAAAGTTTTCTCTGATTCCTAAATTATCCAGTTCTTAAGCTATAAAAGACATTTTTCCATCAGTGTTTGGCGTCTTCTGTGATTATCGGTTTGGCCAAACTAGCTATCAGTCGCTTTAAAAATGCTAATAGTTTAGCTGGAACTTTCCTAAACTTGCTGAGTTTCCTGAACGGCTGCTGGAGACCTGCTGCAGTAACGTTCCGGACTGGGACCCCTCCCTGCAGAGCCTCCAGGTCTGGGTGGGTCAGTTCTGCCCCCTAGGAGCCCGCCGGTGGCCCCCAGGTGGAGGTGGCCCACCCGCCTGTAGGGGCTGCACCTCCGCCGTCTCAGGTGGCCCGGAAACCCCCCGTCCGCCCCCGCCGCGCTGCGCTGGAAGCGACAGTTTTATTTTTGGAGCGGCTGCAGGCAGCGGCGCTTCAGCCGCAGCTCACTTCACCCCGAGACGGCCCCGCGGCGCCCTGAGCCCGGATTAACAGGCAGAGAGTCCGCCCGCCGCCCGCCCGCCCAAGGTAAAGCAGTCAAACCCGCACGCCGTGTGGTCCTCAGCCTCTGGCCAGCTGCCTGCACACCGCCTGCAAACAGCCGCAGGGCTCCACAGCACGTGCACAATTTGGGATCTTAAATGCATGATGCATATCAGACATGATTGCAGATCCTAAAGACATAGGGCTGGTTGAATATATTCTGCATAATATGAGAGTGAAACGCTTAACTGAACACCACACTGATCATATTTTAATTAGATGATCTCGTTTTGCTCAGATCAGTTCACATCCTGTTTGGATTAAGGATCTGGAATGTCTTGCTCAGCTTCCAAAAACAAAAAAAACAAACAAAACAAACAAAAAAAAACCCCAAAAACAAGCAAAATGTGTCTTTATGTCTCAGGTAAGTGCTTCAGATTCATAATCTGGCAGTTGGATATAATCAAAACCCTTCGCTTTGACCAAACCAAGACAGAGGTCATGGGCTAGTTTTATCCCGAAGCTAATCTTACACTTTCCTCTTTTGAGTGGCTGCAGTGGAAACCGCCCAGGTGTCCAGCCCCAGAGCCTTAAATGGGGGCGTTTCGGGTGACAGTGTGGTGGCTCTGACGACAGGGTCAGATCATGAGCATTCATTCAAAACCAGGCAAACGTCTCAGGTTGTCAGAACTTCTAGATTCTTCTCCGTTCTGGCTCCTTCGTTCCAAACAAGCAGAGATTTTAAATGTGCAGATGACATCATCACAGCTCCCCATTTCCCCGGCTTATCTTAGATCAAACTGGCTGGAGGTCCACATCTATAAAAATTTAGGGGATATTGTCACCGGGAAACACGAGGCTAAGCTCGCACTTGGAACGGGATTTGCGCCTGGGATTGATTTCCAGCGAACTGTGGCTGTTTGAGCGGGAGCCGGACAGCAGGCAGCAGGTGCTCGGTGTCAGGACGTTTGCTCCCATTTCCCCCGGCCTAAAATTAGGCCCTGGATCTTGTCTGGTGCCAGTCAAAGGCACTGTCATATTTCAAGAGAAAGGGAACAATTCAGCTCATGTTGCCGCTTGAGCTCCAGCTAGCAAAGTTTTAAGAAACCGGTTAACTGTTAATTAGCTCAATCTGGACTCTCTGAAATCTGTGTGGAGATTTAAGAATGTGTGGATTTTCTGCACCTTCAAACACACAAAAACAGTAGTTATTTGTGTTATCTTTGAAGTCTTGTGAATGTATTTGGACCCGAATGTACAATTGAATGATTTCTTCTCGTGGATTAGCTCCACGCTAACATCCTGTCTCCCCTCTAAACCTACTGACCTTCCTGTATATCTCAGTCGTCATCCTTAGGGCTTACTTCTGATCCACTCTGATGTCATTTACAGTCTCCTTGAGCAACTATTTTGATCGGTAATTTATCATAACTTAAAATTAACCTTTTCAAAAGAAGCAGCGTGGCGTGCCATTCTATTTCGAAAGGCCCTGGCTCCTTGTAGCCATGCAGCATCTTCAGGGCCCAATCAAGAATTTTGGAACCAGTTAATGAGCCTGTTGTCATAACAGGCTCAGTTTTCTACAGCCAACTGGAGTCTTGTCCCCGAGCCATCAGAGCGGGTTATATTAGAACAGCTTGTAAGCAGCTAAATGAAAATACTGCACCAACACAGCTCCACTTTGGCAATATTGAGAATATATACATTTCTTCATAAGAAAACAGAGATCAGTTTTATTGAATTCAGTTCAAAGAAACATTCAGAACATTCAGATATCAGTCACAGGATAAAAATGAATTTTTGTAGAGATTAAAAACCGACAGAAAATAAATTTTTGCTTCTCTACCTTTTGCAGAATTACAACAAACTCACAGGAAGTGACAGGATTTTAGTAATCCTTCAGCTTTGAGGAAAAACAAAGGAAAGCCAGGTAATCCGAGCACTCGTTTCACAGATCTTCGTAGACCTGTTCAGCTGTGAAGAAAAAGCAGACTTTATCAGCTTTTGAACGACTCAGATCATTAACTTCAATCAAGTATTTCAATGAGTATATTTAATAAGAACAAACAGCAATTGATGGTCAGATTTTGTCCCAACTTTGTGATAGAATAAAACCACAAGAAACTGAATCTCATCAAAGTTTTCTCAGAGTCCTAAATGATCCAGTTCTTAAGCTATAAAAGACATTTTTTCCATCCCTGTCATCTGTGTTTGGTGTCTTCTGTGATTATTGGTTTGGACAAACTAACTATCAGTCAGTTTAAAATGCAAAGAGTTTGTCTTGAACTTTCCTAAACTTGCTAAATTTCAGACTTTGCTTTCTCAGTTTTTTTTAGTGTCAACTGACGTGAGCCGCCCGTCTTGCAGGAGCATGAAATGCTGATGGAGATCTGCTACAGTAACGGGCTGGACTGTGACCTTTCCCAGCAGTATCCTCCCCCCTTGCTGCCAAAACCGGGCAAAGACAACGCGAGGCTTCAGAAACTCAAGAAGAAGAGGGCTAAGAAAAAGGGCAGCCTCTCGCAGACCCCCATCCCCTTCCGATCCTGCCTGTCGCCTGTCAATGAGGCCAGCACGGACCTCGAGCACAGCGACCAGCCCAGCCCTCCCAAGACACCGGACTCTGTCTACGTCGCAGACTCCTCCGGATCCAGTTTCCCCTATGGCTCCTTCTACGATCCCTCTGGATCTGCATTCCCCTCACTTCAGACCAGCCCCCATGGACAAAGCGGAGGTCCACCATCTCAGCCCCACGCGCCTCATTTCAGTACCTTTGGAGAGCAGGTGGCTCCTCTGTACGAGTGCTCCTCTTTCTTATTCGATGATGTGTCTCCTTTCGCGATGCCACCTTTAACATCGGCCCCCTCGGCAGTGGCAGAGAAAGTTCCAGCACAATGCCTTCCCCCTGCTTTCAAACTAAACATGACATCGAATTCCCAGGGGTCAGTCACAACAGACTCTCCGGTTGCTATGTTGCAGACCAGCCCTAAAATATCTACTCACAGCTTGACCCTATCCTCTGTCAACCCTAACTGTGGCCCGACACCTTCTCAAGTTACAGAACCACCTCCGGTTCCAGTGCTACTATCACTTTCAAGTACCCATGCACAGCCTTTTAATCCCAGCCAGAGGGAGACAAACACTGATTTAAAGGACAGCCCCCCGAGCCAAACATCGTCCTGGACCGCCAGACCCAGCAGCAATGGCAGCTGTGCCCTTCGCCAGATGTCCTCTGAGATAACGGCCTCCAAAATATCCCTCGTCGAAGCAGCGAAAGAGACGAGGGCAGAGGCCAAACAGGCTAAGATTTACACGTCACGGGCGACGTTTTGTGAGATATCCAAACCCTTCTCGGCCCAGGACCTGACAGTAGTAGACCCCGCTTATCGAGGATCCTCACTATCGTCAACGTATAGGGAGAAAACAGGGATATCAGTGATCAGCACCGATCAGAAACTATCTTTAACTAGAACCCCGAGTGGGCGACCTCAAACTCCAGCTTATACAAAAAATGGAATATCCACGCCTGTGTTTGAACTGTCAAAACCCAACCCATTTTTGTTTGCCGAAACCCCCGTCTTCAACTCCTCCCACGACTTCCAAAAACCTGCTTCCCTGACGGAGCTGCCGACACCCAAACTGGCAGGTCAAAGCAGCACTGCCACAGAGGAGTGGACGCAGGCTGCTTTTGATCACGCAGCTTCCAGCAAACATATAAACTATTATCAAGAGAGAGAGATTCCCAACACGAGAAGGAGCACCATAAACCTGAGCCTGTCAAACCCTGAGCCGGGCTTGGAGAACACGACTGGGTATGACTTCCCTGTGCTCAAGCCTACCGACCCTAAAGCGAGAGCAGAGATCTCAGAAGGCAAAGCCTCATCTTTGCCAAAGGTTCCCTCATTCTTTTCCGCACCAAAGACCTTCAACCCAGCCCCGGTGATCACAATGCAAGCACCGCTGAGCCCGAGGCCGGTTTTCCCCGGCCACCGACCCCCAGTGCTGGAGGCACGCAAGTCCCTGACGTGTCTTTTGGAGTCTCAGATGTCATTAGCAACCTCCAAGCCCAAATCCCGGTCCACATATTATGGGCTCACTCCAGCTGAGTATGTTGCTTTTGGAGGAATTAGATCTACAGCATCCCACCACAGCCCTCTGCCCCCCCGCATTGATGAGATGCCCCCAGACAAAAGCCCCCTAGAACATGAGGAGCACCTAAACGGACATGAGGATCTGCCCCCTCCAGCTCACAGCACACAACCATCAATTAACCATTCGGGATTATCTGAGGAACAGATTGTCACAAATACTAAAGATGACTTTGAGGAAAGTCTGTCCGAAGCTCAAAGTATTGGAATAGAGTCGCTCAAAACATCTAATGTGGACACAATGAAACCCGAGATTCCCTCTGGTTTGGCACAGAAAACAATTCAACAAACCACAAGTGATGTACCAACACCCAAAGCCTCGTACTCTGAGGCTCCTATACCAGTACCTAAAGCAGGTGAGGTACTCACACAAAGTGTGGCACAGTTTTCCATAGAGGCAGGTCTAAAACCAGCTCCAGATGGAAGTCATCTGATTAACTCTTCTACCCTCTTAGTACAGGATTTAAAGGCAGAAATGCAGCAAAAAGCAAAAGCAGCAGAGGTCATAGACAAATTTCTTAATCCTATTAAAACACCACCAATTTTCATCAAAAAATTTAAAGGAGATTCCAAGGTGTCAGAGAGAAAGGAACAATGTGGAAAAATTGAGATAGCGCCACTTGAAATCAAACCATTGACAGCCGATGGTGCCAATAAACAACCAGCTGCCAAACCTGTTAAAAACATTGCGGTTCAGCCCACTCCCATTGGGTTTGACTCCAAATTCTTAGATATTTCTGCTCAGAAAGCTGCATTTGTCTTCCAGTCGAACAAAGCAGCTTCCGAAACCCCAACATCCCTCAAACTAGTCAATAACGACATCGTAGACAAACTAAAGGAAGAAATCAATAACAAAAATAAACCGAGCACAGACAACTTTGTGCCAAATCAGACAAACATGGGAAACTCTTTGTCTTATTTAGCTGCTAAAACAGAAAATAGGCTTAACAGTAGAAACACAGGAGTGCAGCTCCCCAAAGAATCAGATGTCCCTGTCATGGAATCAGTGGTGCTACATAAACCTGTTACAGCATCCATTCACCCTGCACAGTTCAACATCTGCTCCATATCTTCACCCGAGAGGAGCCCCAAATTTGCTTATCCGCTCAATTCAGAAACTCTAGTTAGCAAAAGTAACCAATCTGTAGAGGACAAGATCCATATAGCCTCTCCCAATATGTCTGCCTCACATTCTACTGCAGCCAAATCGCAGATTGTTTCAGGTTTAAACTTCTTGGTAGACAGAGACCCATTAAATGTGCCAACAAAAGAACCAGAAATGCCAGCTACCGTGACCACAAAAGTACCCGTGGACACACAGACTAGCATAGGATGGATTGGGTCTAGAAAGGTAGTACAGGAAGCCAGTTTCAGTTCAAATTCATACAAGGTTACAGAAATGGAAAGCAGCCTTGTCAGAGCAGAAAACGTTCTAACGAAACCTGCCTCCGAGCTGCACAAAGGGTTGACACTTAGCAGTGAAAACAAAGTTCCAAATACGCTCCCTGCAAACCCTCTTAGAGCGTCTGCAGATGCCGTTTCAACAGGGCGGCATGGAGCTTTTGAGACAAGCCAGCAAGAAACTGAACAGTCGAGCAAACTCAGTTTGGGAGCAAGTGCTCAGAGAGTTACAGCCAATGAGAGCAATGGCCCCAACAGGCTTCTCAAAGAGGCCTTGGGTTCGGTAATGGCGGAGGCAGCAGGGAGCATCAAACCCCTGATGCCTGCTAGCCCCACCATCAGGCATTTCCCACCAAAAAGCCCAAAGATAAGATCCGAGAGGTCTGAGAGTCAATCCGCCTCTTTCGGTGGCAAACTGACTCCAACCCTTTTTGCTGTGAGCAGATCGCCAGAGACGACCCGGCATGAAATGACCCCCCTGAAAGAGAAACTCCCCGTTGTCAAACCGGTGGTCGGTCGTCAGTTTTTAGCAAGTCCCATCCCTAAAATGAGAACTCCTGCAGCCTCTCCCTCCATTTTTGCAGGGCACGTTGAGGCTAGCGCAGAGGAGCAGAAAATAAAACCAGACCAAACTAATCTGCCTCTAACTGGTGAGAACTCAGTGCAATCTCAGGCCGGGTTGAAACTACTCAGCTCCACCACTCAAACAAAAGCCTCCCTGGAAACTAACGTTCACACCGTAAATCCTCAGCCGCTCCAGTCTTTAAATAACCCCGCTCCTATAAATATCCCGCCTCTAAACGAAGCCATCAGAGATTTCAAAGCCCCTCACAGCCCACCAACTGCCACTAAACCTTTGGCTGCAATTAGATCGTCCCCTCTCCCAGAGCCAAGAAGGGTTCATACAACTAAACAAAGATGCACCCCCACTTTGCCACACTTGCCTCAAACCCCTGTTCCTTTTGTGCGTTTGGCAGAGATTTTACCTTCATCAGTAGTTATGAAAGAGGAGACAAACCTACCAGTTGCACCTGCTCAAAATGATACCTCCCTCCCCAGCCTTGATAATAACTCAAAACCAGAAATTAGATCGCCAACAGCTACGGACACATCTGTCCCTGAGGTAAAAGTACATTCCCCCGCCAGTCAGGTGCAAGCAAACATGACAGATAAGTCTTTTAGTGAAGGAGCCATCTCCTCCCAGCCCACTCAACCCGATCTAAGTAGCACGACTACTCTAAAAGCACCCACCCCGGTTCAGCTGGTGGAAACGAGCCCTTCCTCTGCTTCGGTAGAGACAAAAGCTGTCGTTTTAGGAGCAGAATCCTCAAAGTCTCCCGGTCTGATGCAGGTTAGCTCGCACGCCCCTAACCAGCCAATAACAGAGCCACCACTAGACAGCAAACCCCCAGCAAAGCCAGCAACAGGTATGAAACCGCCGGTGGTTATCGCAGCTTTGACTGACCCTGCCACTCCTGCCTCTCTGCCTCAGGCCGCAGTCTCAGTCAAAGCTCCGCCTCCAAACAGAGGAACGTCACCGCCATCTCAGCCAAAAGCTGGACTCAAAGGCAAAGACCCTCCCAAGGCCAATGCTGCGCCAACGGAGACGCCAGCAGTCGAGCCCTGCACGAGGTCAGCGACATCGACTGCATCTTCGACGACTGACCCTCAGTCGGCCGGAGACGGGACGCCCCAAAAAGCAGCCCCCAAGCTGAAGGGCCTGAAGGCGAAGCTGAGCGGCTGGTCGCGGCTGAAGAAGCACATGGTGGTTGAGCCGGAAGAGCCACAGTTTCCAGAGCTGGAGGCCAAACGCCCAGTCGCCCCCGACGAGGAGAAAACAAGCGAAGCCGGCGAGAAGCCGGCCGAGGAGCCGGCCGCCAATCAGGAGGTCACCGCGAACACAGAAGGCCCCAAGGCGCTCAAGATGTGGGACGCGCTCCTCTTCCAAATGTTCTCCACCAAAGACAAAATAATGCACCAGATCAATGCCAGCAAGAAGGACCCGGACAGGAAGAAGCCGTCCAGAGACAGCCCGGCGGAGCTGCCCTCATTCGTCAACCGCCTCCCCATCCTGCTCTACAGCCCTCGCTTCGACGCCCGCAAGCTGAAGGAGGCGGCCGAGAAGCCGCTCACCAAGATAGCGGCCGCCTTCGAGATGGGACTGATAAAGCGCAAATCCCAGGAGGACGACCGGAAGGATTTCAACAGAACGGCCAGAGGGTTCGGCGCCAGGAAGGCCGCCGACGCGGCCGAGGAGGCCGACGAATGAGAGGCCACTTCACCGGAAGTGTGCCCAGGAATGAAGGACTGATATCAGAACTATGGGAAAAACTTCTATCCAGACCCAAAACCCAAACAGTGTTTAGATAAACTGATGAATTTGCATGCATGAAAAAAATCTTTAGGATTATTCTGCTTTGATATGAAATTGAAGAAAGCCGGGAAACATTCAATGTAAAACAAATAAATGAAAAGAGTGATTATTCAGAATAATTAGATTATTCTGAATTATTTTGAATTAAAGCACTTATTGCAGCGTTGCTAAATAAATACATTTGTGTGAATGAGTCCCCCTCAGAAGACAAAAAGAACTCGACTTCTTTCCCGTCTGATAGTTAAGGTGCGTGTCATTGTCATGTTCTACTTTTTTCTATTTTTGTAAACAAAGTGAAGCTTTTAGTGTCCACTGCAGGCAGGTAGGTCTTAGTCTCTGTAATAAATAGGGCTTTTACATTCCTGGAACAACAGGGAAAATGTGTTTTTTAAAAATCTTTTAAAGGAGGTGGAAGTGTGTGTGAAGGCTCCAGGTCTGGTACGAATAAATAAGGTCTCCGAAGGTCAGATGTGCACGGAAAGATGGAGAAAGATCAACCAGTGGGGAAAATTTCAAATGCATTGGAGTAATTTCAGGCTTGGTCTGTTTTTCCTGGAATATCGCTGTGAACCTGAATCATTGGGGTCATTGAGCTCCAGGATGCATGTGTTGATTGTGATGGTAAACATTTTGGTGCTTTCATCTGAGGTTAGCTGCTACATGTTAGCTCATGACTCATGTTTTTTATGGCAAAGCCCTCTTCGATGTTCTTTACAACATATTTACTCGGAGATTCTGCGGATGAGCTGGAAAAATATTGTGATCGGGATTTGCTGTTTGATTTTCCCACCAAAAACAACCCAAAAACAACCATAAAACCAACCATGCTGGATTTCCTCTGGTTCCTTTGGCACCAGCAGGATCCTAATCCCAATATTGTCCTTAGCTCTGAGCTAAATGATGGTATTTTCTCTGAGGTCGAATAAGTTCCCGAGGAACATATTTCCTCGCATTTTTTGTTTATTTTAGACAAGATTTAAAGTATAAGTGAACACAACCGGATGGGGATGATGAGGGAAAGCTGCAGTGAGGAGCTGATAGAAGCGAAACGAGTAAAAACTGGAGAAGAAGCGCAAAAAAAACGGAACTGGGATGTTGGAAAGTTTCAGAGAATGATGCTTCTGTCATAGCAGGTGTTGGCAGGTTAGATTTTTAGCGGTTACTTTTTTAAAATTGTGTTTCTGAATGCAGCCCCGTTTGTTACAGTGATGCTTAAAATGTCTTTGTTTGTTTGTTTTAAAAAAATGCATAAAGTTCTAAAAACCTTTCGTGTCTTTTTGTTTTTCATGTCACATAACACCCAAGAACCCGGCTTTTTATGACACATGTTGCCTCCCAACTGAATACCTATTATTCAATTGTTTACTTTCCTATTTTTGCCCATTTTTATTGATCGGCGCATGAAAAATAAGTATTTAAACCAAAAATGAAGTCGTACCAATTCAATTAAAAAACTATTTTTCATCACAAAAAGCTCTGCTGGAATTAAAAAGTTACCTGGTAAACCAAAGCAGGACAATTTATCATCACCTTTAAAACCTTTTTTTAAAAACTGAAAATGCAGTTTCCAATATTTGAAAACCTTTTGTCCATCATTGAGGCTAAAATTGGTGTTAAGGGGACAAGAAACTGCACAAAAACCTCACAATTGGTTTCATGGTGACCTTTAGATCAAATCCACAACACAAAATAACTCATTTTGGCTTAATTACGACTAATTTCATGCATCCTTATGACACAAAAGCTAACTTTAATGATACGAAGTGAGTATCAAATCTTTATGATTAAAAAATAACAGGCAGTTTATTTTAACCAGGTAATTTTGCACATATTGTTCCACAAAAACAGTAAAAAAAAAAAGAAAAAGCTCCCGACTAGAGAGAATTATAGCCCTTTATCCTCTCTGTGACGTGTTTGCAGTGTTTCTCACCTGCTGGGCAGTTTGGGTCCTCCTCACTGATGTTTTCTCCAGGGACCTTCTCATACTTGCCGTGGCCCATCACCACAAATTTATATCTTTTGGCAGAGCCCTCCTGAATTTAGACCAAAAGAGAGAAATCTTCAGATATTGGTCAACACACACTTATCCTCTGGGTTTAGTTATTACTCTTTTTTTATCTGCTGTTTCAGAGTCTTGGAAGATCTTCATATTAGCAGAAGAGCAAATATTTCATGTTTGTGGGAAATGTTGGTTAAAGTTACTTCATTACAAAGTCCAAGTGGGATTAAAAAAATCTGTTATTTATAGTAGTTTCAATTTAATTACATATTCGTGCATTTCTTGTTATGAATTTTTTTCTTTCCAGTAGATTCACTGGCGGAAGGAAAATCATCTTATTGGGCCGGAAAGACAAATTAATTTTTAAGGAAACTTTAATAATTGCTTCAGCTTTTTAATATGCAATTAATCTAACTAATGCAACTAACTGAACTAAATATAAATAACATAAATAAATAAACACAGATGACAAATAATATTTAAAAGACAAAAAAGTCTAAATAAAATTATTTATAAATAAATACATTGATACATAAAAAAAAAGGCTATAAATAAAACAAAAAAAGATTTTCTGGATATCTCTCAGTGACACCTTATAATTTAAGTTGTTTAATTGCAAACCAACTGTAATCCTTTTTCCCCCCTGGGGTGGGACAGACAGAGGCCACCAGCAGGTTTACCTTTCCATCCTTAGAGGAAGACAAAGTGTCACCAAGGCTCTCCCATAAGTTTTTCTTATTTAGAACCCCTCCAGGTTTGATCTCCTGCAAACAGACAGAAAGTTGTTAGTTTATGGCAGCAAAAGAGGCCACCAGGAGGCGCCGTCCCCCCCACGGCTGTAAGGGGAACCAGACGGGGCCCATAAAGCCTGGACCGGACAGAGAGCTGTCAGGACGTAAATCTGAGCTAGCCCAGAGAATTTTTATCAGCGCTTTATTTACGGTTTCCCTGCAGTTCACTGTCTTACTGTTAACTGTGATGCTCCTGTAAAGAACAAGACACAGACTCTAGGAAATAAAAAAAGGTTTGCAGAGGGTATTGTTGCCTTGGAAAAGTGAAGAATCAGCAGACAGAAACTTTGGAAGCAGCCTCTTATGAGAGTCTGCTGGAAAAGATGAATGATGAGAAACCAATAATCTGGGATGATTTCTGGGTACACGTGAAGCTGTTGTATTTCTATTCCCATTTATTATTATTACTGCTATTTTCTGGACCATATTTTCTGTCAAGGTGGCGTATAGGGAGACTATGTACAACAGGACAATGTAACACACTATATGGACCTTTTTTGTGTGTGTGTTTAAAGTTTGATCAATAAAAAATGTTGCATTTTTGGTGGTCAGACCGAACAGGAAATCTGGAACGTCGCCCCAAACTGGACTGGATTAAAAAATCTGAATTAAAAGGGACATATTATGCCAAACCAAGTTTTTAATCATTCCATTGTGTACATTTGGGACTAAGTGTGAAAAAAAATGACTGGGTCATGTTTTTGTGGGCCGTCTCAGTCTGAATCCAGGAGATAAATCAAGAGGTTTCAGGAGTGGGTAGTTTCTGACGTCATTAGCTCTAGCTCATTATAATATTATAATAGTAGCGTGAGCGTTAGCATGGTAGCGTTAGCATGGTAGCGTTAGCATGGTAGCGTTAGCGTGCCGACGTGGGCACACCTCCCTGAAGAAGTGGGTGGATTGCCTGTGTCTCATTTGCATTTAAAGAGACAGGCACTCCAAAGCGAGCGCTCTGAACGGGGCTGTTTTGGGTTAGGGTTAGGGTTAGGCAGGGGGACTGAACTGCTATTGGGCTTCATCCTTATGGGATTCTGACCAAAGCTTGTCACAGACATTACATTAGGACACCAGGGAACTAGCTTAACTTGTTAAAATAGGGTACAATATGTCCCCTTCAAGAGGCTAAACTGCGTTGTTACTAAATGAGATAACTTCCTGAATCCAGGGGGCAGAAGGGACTCACGGCGGGTTTGGAGGGGGAGCTGCACCGGCCTCCGTCCTCTCCTCCTCTCACCCACTGGTTTATCAGCTCAGACACAGCCACCTTCAGCCCCTCTGCATCCTGACAACAGACGTTAGCCCAGACGTTAGCCCGGACGTTAGCCCAGACGTTAGCCCAGACGTTAGCCCAGACGTTAGCCCAGACGTTAGCCCAGACGTTAGCCCAGACGCTAGCCCAGACGCTAGCCCAGACGTTAGCCCAGACGTTAGCCCAGAGCTGCCGCCCGGCCGGAGCCTGTCGGGGGTTAGGGTTAGGGTTAGGGTTAGGGTCAGGGCTGGGCCTGACCTTGGGGGCGGCCCCCGGGGGGGCGCTCTGGGTCCAGGCCTCTCCGGCCTCGAACAGGCTCTTCTTGGAGGCGACGGGCTCGGAGGGGCCGGTCAGCTCGGACAGCTGCTGGCCGCCGGATCGCCCCCCCTTTGAGGACACCTTCAGGAAATACGGTGAGGTTTGGAGAAGTTTAGAAACTCTGACCGCTAAGATCCGTTAGAATTGTTTCTGACTTTCGGGTGAATTTGGAAAATGATTGGAAAAACATTTTTAACACAAGTTAAAAGGAGTTCTCCTATAAAACCAAACGAAAACTCAGCTTTGTAACCATTTTCTAATTTATTTAATATATATAGTATTTATTTTCTAATATTTCATTTTAGATGTTTTAAATGAGTACATTATTTCATTCTATATATCAGTTTGTATATTCATCCTATTTCGTTTGCTTTTATTGTACTTATCTATTTGATATTTTATACCTCCAACTAATTCTTCTTCACGGCTAAAAATGATGATCACTATCTTTTGTTTCCTAATTTCAGTCTAATTTGCTCAGAAATTTGATCTTTTTTATGTCACACATATTTAAAACTGGTTAAAAATGAATGAAATGCTAACTTTAATATTTAAGGACAAGTTAGAACAAAAATATTCATGAAAAACAAATCATATTTAGATTATCATATGTGCTTTGTCACTTTACTTTTTTTGTTTTTTATATCTCAGAAGTTCCAGAGTAGAAGAACATGGAATTAGTGTAACCAGCTGAGAGAAAATGTTTTGCTTTGCTCAAAGCACTTTAATGAGAAGCTAAACGTGGAGATACTGAAATAAATAAACATTTTTATGTCTGTCTTCTTCTTGAATTCACAAAAAATATAGAAAAAGGGGTCCAAATATAAACCCTTTTTCTCTATCTTTTGTTAATTCAAGAAGCATACAGCCATGAAGATGTTTTTCTATTTCATTATCTCCACGTTTAGCTTCTCATTAAAGTGCTTTTTAACAAAAATAAAAATAAAATAATATACAAGTCCTCTGTCTATTTTGGGCCAAACGTGCCTTGGAGCCGTACTGTGACGTTCTTGTTGTATATCTCTGTGGAATTTCCCCCCAAAATCATGTCTAAGATGCTGAGAACTCTGTGAGAGTCTCTTCTCGTTTTGGGAAATCTGCGCTGTTATTCCACAGCTATCCTGAGGAGGAGGGGGGGTTTTACCTCCAGGGCGTGCGTGTACTGCTCCAGACGCTTGTCGATCTTGGAGACGGAGACGGGCGGCGGCGTCTTCTTTGTGCTGCTGCTGCTCCAGATGGAGGAGAGCAGCTGCTTTATCAGGCCATGGAGGGTCTGAGGGTCTAAAAACGGTAAAAACCGGGAGCTCACCTCCTCCTCAGGGACTCAGTCTTCTCTGTGATCTGAAAAACAAGCAGATCTGTGCTTAAAAACTCCACTAATGCTCAACCCGCTATTATTTTTAACTAAAGCACAAAGGAAAAAGTGCTTTTCAGATAAATGCACCATCATTTCTAATCATTTAACCACACAATCATCTACTGATTCAGTGTGTAAAACAAACTGCCTCTTGTAATTGTTGCATTTATTCTGTCTTATACATTATTTTCAAACATTAAGTCTATAATTTGTTATTCTTTTCAAGGGTTCTTGTCTGGTTGGAATTTATGTGAGTTGTATTTGTTTTATATTGTATTATTTAGTATAGAATGGATTTGCTTTTGTTTTGAAATTTAGAGAAAGCACTTTTATTTTGAAGTCAAGAGGAGTCTTGTTTGAGCTCTTGTGGGAGAAGCAATGGAGACTAAGTTAAGGATTTTTTTCTGAAGTTAAGGCTAATAAGTTAATGGAGAATCTTAAAGATTTTGGATAATTCCCTTTTTCTTGCAGCATGCAGCCAACCAGGTATTTTATTTATTTGTTTGCTTTGTAAGTATTGTTTCCTGCTCTGCAGGTTATTGTTTGTCTCATTAATCTTTGTGTTTGTTAACTTTATTTAGTTTTCACGGTGGATTTGGAGATCCCAAAACGACTTCAAACAAACCAGTTAAAGAAAACCCACTGGAGTCTGCCTGTGCTTAGAGGGAATTATAACTACATGACAAAGTGTCCCTTTCCAGCTTAGGTTTGACACAGTTTGGAGTGAAATAAAGAAATAAATCTATTATTTTTACCTAAAGCACAAAGGAAAAGGTGCTTTTCAGATAAATGCACCTATCATTTCTAATCATTTAACCACACAATCATCTACTGATTCAGTGTGTAAAATAATCTGCCTCTACATGATAAAGTGTCCCTTTCCAGCTCAGCTTTGACACAGTTTGGAGTTCCTCTCATGCTTATGAGGCGACCTTTGACCCCGCCGTCTGCACTCACCGTGCATTTCCCGTCTGTGGAGGCCCGGCCGCTCACCTCGTCCTGTGGAGACATCTGTCCGTTACAAAAATCACCAAAAAAAAATAAAAAAAGGGCTCTGGTTCTCTCTGGCTGGCACCGATTAACAGGGAGGCCATTTTTAAAAGGCTGTTTGTGGACAAAGCCAAAAAGTCTGACCCTTTGCAGAGAGTTGGACACTTGGCAAAGTAAGAGAAACATCCCTTCTTTAGAGAGATGCAGAAAAATAGCTTTGAATTTGGTGGAAGGTGTTTTTGTTTGCAATGTCCAAACAAAAAAAAGAAATCTGTCTTCATACCAGCTGACATTTGCATGTTTATGGTACGAAATTTGAAACTGAAGTGTGTAAAAGTGTCCTGAATGGAAACGTGAAAAGTTTTCTGAGTCTTTGTTCCAACAAACAACCCAATAAAACTTTTCTCTGGCAGAGATGATGAAGAACCAGGCGGGGAAAACAACACTAAATGGAATTTACCCGGCAACAAATGGGAAAGAGGCTTTAAAGCTTCTCTGTGTGGTAAAGGAGATCCCACTCAGTCCCCCATTTTATTTAGCTTTGCTAAATTCATGGATGCTAACGGGATAACGATCCCCATCCATTTGTGGTTTCTGTCTCGCTCTGCTCCTTTTGTAGAAGCTGGTGGTAAAACTGAAGCCCGCCCCAGCTAAGATAACAACCACCTGCTGTCTGAAATGGTTCGAAATAAAAAGATTTATGCTTAAAGGGCAAAATAAATGTGTAACGTCGAGATAAATGGGGTAAATGATTGAAACCAGGAAATGGACGGTGCGTTTAGGCGATTTATTTCAGAGTCTGCATAAACTCTGACTCGTAAAACGTCCCGGAGGAAACTTATCCGGGCCATTAAACACATCACGGATAGTTTAGCCTTTTATGAAGTGATTTAAAACCGCAGCCCTCTCTCAAGCTGTCTTCAGCGTGAGGCCCTCCTCACACTTTAACCCCCCAAACTGCACCAAGAAGCCACTTTTAAGCTCTGAAAAGTAGAAACTGGAAGTGAGAAACAGGCTTTCTGAGTTCAGGTCGGGCTGCAACACTTAAAGTGTCCTCTGTAAATGTCAGCTAGACCAAACCAGTGAGCAGCCTCTGTCTGCAGCCTGTAGGAGCCCCGGCTGGATATCCAACTCCTCCCACATCCAAGTCGGACATTTGAATAGGTCATGTGACTAGCAGCTTTCTGAGGTGGAAACGGAACTTTACTGTCTAAATGAAATCGGAAGATAAATGATGTCCTAACCCTAACCCTAACCCTGACCCTAACCATAACCCTAACCCTGACCCCTAACCCTGACCCTAAACCTGACCCTAAACCTAACCCTGACCCTAACCCTCCAGTCTTCATAATTGTGAGAAATAAATATTTTTGGTTAAACTTGTTTGGACTTATTGTACAAACCTATTTAACATCCACTTTTTAAACATAATATTATGACTAGAGTTTAATTCAGTGTTTGCAAGATTCATTTCACTATTTTTAAATGAATGTCTATATTGCCATGAAGCAATTAGGATTTTCTTGCCTGGGATCTTCCTATTGGTGACCTGATCAAAATGGCCGACTCGGTTGCCCGACTCGCTGCAAACACGACAACTTTCATTTGTCTGAGGTAAAGCTACATGTTAAGGAGGAGAACTCCAGTTGGGGCAGCTGAACAATGTCCAACAATGAACTATTTCCAACCATGAAATGTGACCTTTTGATTTGACTGACCACAGATGGTTGGTTTCTGAAGGTTTCTGATCAAACTCTGTTGTCCGAACATGTTTAAAGCAGAAAACCGAGGCCTTTCTAACCCAGACGAACAGTTTTTAAGAGAATAGAGAGTGAAATGACAAAGCCACTGAGAGTCAAAGTGGACAAACCGTCCTGTGAAATACGGCCTCTTAAAACTCGGGCTAACGGGGGGGTGAGCACTCACCGGGTAGAACTGGATGAGGAGTTTCTGGTGGATCATCGGGGGGGCGTCAGAGAGAAGACAAAGCAGAGGTTTCAGCTTCCGGGTGTGACCCCCCAGGTGGGGCGGGAGGTTGGGGGGGTTACCTTGAAGGTGGGGCTCATGGGGCCGTAGCAGGTCAGGGGCTCCTCATCCTCTCCGTCCACCAGCGTCCTCTGAGAACCAGAGACACTTTATTTCCCCCCACCAGCTCAGAACGAGGCCCCCGTTTGTTTGTTTCCCCCCCTCTACATCGGGTCAACTTTTCTGAGTAAAGCGGGCTTATTAGGGGCGAATGGCTAATAAAGGACTGGCACAGGGCCAGGGCTAAAAAATTGAGTTTGTTCCAGCTCCTGACATCATCGGGCACATTTCATTTCTGATCCCCGTGAGCCAGGAGAACATTCTTTTTTTTACTTTATAGCTTTCAGACTCGGAGCCAAATTCGATGCGCTGTGAGTTTTATAATAAGCCCGCGCGTCTTTGGGTATTTTTTTAAACATGGGAGGATAAGGGGGGGCCGGTTGGCGGCTGAAAGGGGGGAAAGGTGCTCATTCAGGGACAGTTTGATGCTATATGATATATTTGAATGCTATATTTCTGGAAACGGGTCAATCTAGGGGACTATCTCAACTTTTAACATTTAAACACATATTTCTTTGCATTGTTTTCATAACTTCGGAGCAAAAACAACCAGAATCAATGCGTTTTTGACACTTTGCAGTAAAAGTATGAATCAAAAAAAGAAAAGAAATGTCACAACTGCTTAATTAAGGCCTGATAGCTTAGCTTAGACGAGTAAACTTCCTTTAGTTTATCCTGTAAGCGTAGAACCAGTTACAGGTGGGCTATGAAATGTTTGGGGGTTTGCAGGGGCAGATAGAAGGAAAATGTCTTAAGATGGATTTTTAACCGGTGTGAGATGGTGAATGAAGTCTTTTGTGTGGTCCCACCTCTTTTGGTCTCCGGTGCTGGTCCTGCTGGGACTCCCCGGGCCTCTGCTCCCCCCCCATGTGCAGGACTCCCCTCTCCTGGGGGGTAGGGCTCATCTCTTCTGTCTGAGAGCTCAGAGTCTCTGCAGAGTCCAGCTCCCTCTGAAAAACCTCTCCTTTCTCTTCCTCCTCCTCTTCTTCCTCCTCCTCTTCTTCTTCCTCTTCTTCCTCTTCCTCTTCCTCGCCCTCCCTCTGTGCCTCTGGCTCCACGTCTCCATCCACCCTGGAAGCCCCCCCCCTGTGGACAGCATTAAAGTGGTGATTAAACATTAGAAAATAAGGGAATAAAGTTATTTTCAGGGTGATCCGATCCACTTCTTTATGTTTAGATGGTGAAATATTTTCCTTATATTCTTTTCTTTTGTGGTATTTTTTCTACTCTATCTTATTTTATTTACATTATTGTGTACATCCATCCATAAGTCTCTTTTCTTCCTGTTTGTTCCAAAACAAAAGTCCTCTGGAAAACCAAACAAAGAAAAGATGAAGGTGGTTCTTTCAGAATCTGCAGAGAAAAACTAGGAGGAGATTTGGGGAGTGTGAACACATTTTGGTTAGAAAAGGCCTCAAACAGACTCTCCCTGGATGACCTTTGACCCTCAGCTAGTCTCAGATGGAGAGAAAATACTGGAGTTGAGTCCATTTCAGCTGGTACAGATGTATATTTTCAGATTTTGATCTTTTCCCATGAGGTCCTCTGAAAATATTTTGTTTTCAGTTAACAAACCATTAAAAACTTTCTTTATCCCTTTATTGCCCTATGTATAACATTATATATATACTTTTCTGAGAACAATTGCATCATCATATAGTCAAGATCTTGCATTAAAAAATCCTGTAGAGATACAAATTTGATATGAATATTGACCATGTTTATTTAAAACACATTTGAATTTAAAGAACAGAAATTAAAGAGACATTTTCTTGGGAATTTCTTGAGTGAACTTTTTTTTTTTGGTAAATATGTTCAAGTTGATCAGGAAAAAAAAATTAAGATCCACAAATTGGGCGAAATGGGAAAAAAAAGTTTATATGTAAACAAGGTTCAGACATAAGTTGTTTTTTTGGAGCTGCATAACTTTAAAGTTTGCTCATAATTTCACTTTTAATCTTTACATTTGATGTATTTGATGTAGTTTCCAGCATGTTTTTGAGGCTTTGTCTAAACTTTTCTCAGAATTTCTTAACATAACTGTCTTAAATTTATTCCAAATTATCAAAACGGCATCTAATATCAAACAGAATCAGAAGACAAGTTTCTCTCACATCAAAACCCTGATGGGCTGCAGAAGTAGCTCAGTCTGGAGCGGTGTCATGTTAAATATCTGGGCCCTTTAGGGCTTTTCTCTCATCAGCACACCTCCAGAGCAGAACTCAGAGCTCAAAAGCTGTCAGGAGAAAAACAGAGCAACCCAGAGCTGGAGTTTCTGCAGCGTTGTTGGCACGCCGGCTGTAATTAAACTGGAGGCGGTGGAACCGGCCCAGCCCCGTAAAAAGACGTGATGTAATGAGTCCAGGTAGGAAAAAAATGCCTTTCACAAGAAACTGAGGTATTTCGCAACAGTTTATGGACAACTGAGTGGGGAGGAACCCACTGGAATGCAGTCTTTACCTTCAAATAAGCACAAGAGCACATGATTTAGAAGTTTGTGTAACGGCTGTTATGGGATGATATACGACTGCTTATGAAATGCTCCAAAATCCCCCAAATCCAGTCTGTGTTGCTGAGCGGAGGCCCCGTTTCTGCCTGGTTTTGATTTCATTTGGAGAGTCAGAAAGCTTCTCGTTTTTTGCATCTGCTTCTGACTCATGAGTCCCTTCTACACAGACAGATCATTTATGGGCCTGTGAGGAGAAATCAGCTAAGCTGGACGTTTGGAGGTTTTTCTGAGCATTCCAGCCCTCTGAAGGGGATCCTAAACCCCCCCGCTGTCCCCAAAAAGCCTGAGATCCTGTCAGGACCTCCTCACTCTGACACTGGAAATGTTTCTCTGCATTTGTGTTATAAACAAAAGCTAAAATAAACCGACAAACTCAAGCATTCTGATCTCCACATGGGCTCTGATCTGTGGGAGTCCCATTATTTGTCTATTCGTGTGATTTCTTGATTATTTTGGGGCAGCTGATGTTCTGTGGGCGTCCACATTAACAGTAGACGTGCTTTAACTTTGATCCAAACGAAGAATCTCGACATATTCCCACCTCTGAATGCACAAAACCTGCTCTTCTTAAAGTTAAAACGCTGAGTCAGCATGCGGGGAGCCTAAAGAGGGGCGGAGGACCACATGTAGCACCTGTTTCCTCAGAGAGGAGCGCTCAGTTTTGTTCAAATAAAGCAGAATTGGGAGTTTTCAGTCCACCCTTTTGATACTGCTTTGCCATAATTCCAATTGTTTCTTTGTTTTAGGTTATTAAGTCAATGTGATCTTCAGTTGTTTTCCATTTCTGTTTGATAAACTTAACTAAAGTGTTTGATATGTTGATATGATATGGTGATATGCACTGATGCATAGTTTGCTTGATATTATCAGATTTGAAAACTTATTTGATTGATACCATTGGTGATATATTGTTTGTTTGAAATTTGTTTGGTCCCTTTATAGTTTAATGTTTAATTATGTCTTTGTTCTTTTATCTTCCCAGCACACACAGTTGAACTTGTAAACTGGAAACTTTACCACCATCCATTCACCAATTGTCCTCCATATCACGTCTTCTGATCGAGACTCTGTTGGGCCACCACACGCTACCCCCCCATACAGTTTCTTTAGTGAGTTTTTAGTTGCGTTTCAGAAGCATTTTCCCTCCATTTGTCTCTGTCTTGTCTCACAATGCTGCATTTTTATCCTAAAAAAAGAGGTGGCCGGATGGCGTAAGGTTCAATTCTATTCAATTTTTAAATTCAATTGTATTTCTATAGCGCCACATCACAACAACAGTTGTCTCACAGCTTTCCAAACAGAGCAGGTCAGACCTACTCTGAAGTTAATTACAGAAACCCAACAATTCCCACCATGAGCAAGCACTAGGTGACACAGGCAAGGAAAAACTTCCTTTTAACTCATTGACTGCCAGAGTTTTTTGAGCATTTTGACTGATTTTTCAAGAGCTACAGAATAGTTTGTGCTATGACTATGTAAACACTGAACACACCAAAAGAAAGAGTATACTCTCTTCTTTCATCAGGAAAAAAAATGTGTTTCTACCTTATTCCGTTCTTCCTCGACTTGCGTCTCACCGGCGACATGTTCTCTCATAGAACCGTTCCCTTTTTCTTATTTGCCTACAGTCTATGCTCATCTCCCATCAAAAGTGGCACTGCCACCTAGAGGGTCAATTTGTTACTACATACTCTGTCTAGAAGCTGATATTTACGGACAAGCTTTAGCAGATCGTCCCCCAGACACTCTCGTTGAAAAACATAAAAGACGTCTACAGACGTCTTTGGCAGCCAATGGGTTAACAGGCAGAAACCTGGAGCAGAACCATGGCTCAGGGGGGGCGGCCATCTGCCTCGGCCGGTTGGGGATGAGGGAAAGAGAGGGCAAGAGAGAGAGGGCGAGAGAAGGAGAAGGTAAGGTGTAAAGATGGAGGTGAAGGCGGCTCACCGTGGCTTCATGGTCCCCGCGGCCAGGTAGGAGGTCCTGTCGGCCGGTCGGCCGGCGGCGTGCTGGAGCCGGGCCTCCTGGGGCAGAAAGACGGAGGAGCTGTAGGAGGTCCGGCGGGGGCTCCTGCTGCTGGACGCCTGCTGGGGAAACACAGGTTTAGACCACCTGGAGGGGAGGAGCCAGCTCTGTGGTGTCCGGGGCTTCAGGTCTGACTTTTAAAAAGTGGTTTTCTCCACTTTTCTGTATCAATCAACGAGCTTTAGGGCTCTAACTGGACGACAACTCCCTTTCTGTCTTCAGGAAACTCTTAAAGACCAACCTCTCAAAAGAGCATCTCCTATCCTAACTCCTCCCAGACCTCTAGACCCTCTACTCCTCTTTCTGTGCTCCCTTCTCTCTCTTTGCTGTCACTACTGACTCTGACTGGGGGTTTTCCTCTGGAGAACTAATTATCATATTGGTGATAACTGTAAAATTACAGTTAGCTGGTCTGTTAGCCGGTTAAAAAGTCTACCTTTGGGTTTATTCCCTGAGTTTCTGGCTCAGCTGTGCTTTTTTTTTGTTGGTCCACCAGCTTATTTCTGTATTTTTGGTTTTTTCATCCTCCCCCCCTCACAAATTCAGACTTACACATCTGAATTTTGGTTTTGTTTCAGCTAAAAAAAACAACGATGCAGAATTTTTCTTTCCCCCTTAGGCTCATTTTGTAAGTCGCTTTGGATAAAAGCTTCTGCTAAACTCATAACCTCTAGGTTTTTTCCTCCTAAAGGCAGTTGTTTCCTCCCTGTGTCTCCTAGTGCTGCTATTGGTGGGAACTGTTGTTCTTCTGGAAATAACTCAGAGTCTGAGTCTGTTTGGAAATCTGGGAGATAACTGTTGTTGGGATGTGGATCTACAGAAATAAAACTGAATTGAATTGAAAGATAAACATGAGACACACAGATTTCAGAAGCTCCACCTTCTCTGGGGCTCGTGCCGAAGCCTCAGAGCTCCCTGGTTCCTCGGGCCCGCCCCTCTCCTCCGGTCCCTGCCGCCTCTCCCGCTCAGGGTGGGGCTGGGCCGGGGTCCGGGGCGGTCCCGGGGGCCGGGGCTGGGCCGGGGGCCGGGGCTCCTTGGGGCTGCAGTCCTCCGGAGCCTCGGGCTCTTGGCGGTTTTCCAGCCGGTGGCTCCAGTCGCTGAAGCCCTCGTCCTCGTCCAGGCCCAGGCCGGGCTTCAGCTCCTCATCGGACCTGAGAGGAACGGGGGGGGGGAGGGGTCACCAGGAGAACAACCGGAGGGTCTCCGGGGGCCTGGGAGGCCTCACACTTTCCATCTGAGTGTACGATTGGCCTAAACGTGCAATTTTTTGGACGGTGGGAAGAAGTAAGGGAGTTGGACGGCATTTAAAAAATGCAACGACACGAATGTGTTCACGCTTAAGTACAAGTTAAATATTTATGTTCCTTTTCATGCATGATGCAATGAACCACTTCTGGAGATCCCAGCCGGCTTCTTAATGTAAAACTTTGCTCTCCGAACCAAAATAATAGGAAATAAGCATCCTTATTCTCTATTCTCATTGCTGTTTCACTCTCTTATGCATAAATGAAGGGGCACCTACACACAGTTGTGGGGAAATGTGTGTATTTGCAAATATGTGTATCAGTTGTTTAGACTTTCTTTTAAGTCGCTGCCACATTTCACTGCAATTAGAACCTGAACTATTTAAGTGGATTTTATTCATAAAAAGAACAAAAACCTATTGGCTGAGGGAAACAAAGAGGAGCTGATCCCCGACATTTCCCCTGAGGCTTTCAGGGGGGGCTCCAGGTGGCAAACGGCACCTGAGACGGTAACCATAGCAACGGCAAACAGAGACGGAGCTGGTTCAGCTCCGGTTGGATCAACAGGCTGATCCCCTGAGTGGCCATCAGAGCAAACATCAGCCACCAGGGACTTTCCTTCATTTCTGCTGACCCAAACTTTAACTCTCACAACCAGAACCAGCGTTCTCAGCTCGTTTCAGCTTCTGGACATCACACACACTGTTTCCAAGCACTCAGACCTCCAAATGATGGAGGCTGAGGAGTAAACAGCAGAAGCCAGGTTGGGAACCAGGACCAGAGGGTTCTGGGTTGGAGTCCCGGGGGAACCAGGACCAGAGGGTTCTGGGTTGGAGTCCCGGGGGAACCAGGACCAGAGGGTTCTGGGACGGAGTCCCCGGGGGAACCAGGACCAGAGGGTTCTGGGTTGGAGTGCCCGGGGGAACCAGGACCAGAGGCTTCTGGGTTGGAGTCCCGGGGGAACCAGGACCAGAGGCTTCTGGGTTGGAGTCCCGGGGGAACCAGGACCAGAGGGTTCTGGGTTGGAGTCCCGGGGGAACCAGGACCTTTCTGGGTGGTTCTGCATGTTCTCCTGTGTCTGTGGGTTCTCTCCGGGTTCTCCGGCTTCCTCCCACCCTCCAAAAACCTGCATGTTAGGTTGTTGGACTCCAAACTGCCCTTAGTGTGAGTGTGTGTGTTTGTTGGTCCTTGTGTGTCTCTGTGTGTCCCTGTGATGGACTGGGGACCGTCCAGGGTGACCCCGCCTCTCCCCATTGGCTACTGGGATAGACTCCAGTACCCCCCGACCCCATTAGGGGATAAGAGGTTACCATAATGGATGGATGCATTGAATTGAATTCACTAAGCATCACAAACTTCTCCTGATGGGTGAAGTTTGACAATAAG